GGGACTTAAGAGGGCTGCTCAGGACACAGCATCAGCCTCTATGGATGCTATCAGCCCACTTCAACAAGTCAGATTATTTAATTAGCCCTATTAAGACACTTCTATTTTTATAACTTATTTATGAGTGCTCTTGCTAAGCTGAAAGGTCCGGATTCAGGTTTCAAAAAGTGTTTTCAGCTCTTGGTGGTGTTAGCAGTCTTGGGAGGTTTTATACCATGACTCCATTGCGTTTTCATCCTAAGAAAAAGCAGAGGCAGCAACAAGTGATAGAAGGCTGCTGATACACACTGGTCCTAAAATCCTGTTCTTTGGGCCTCAGAGGTACTTGTGACAAACCTTTGCTTAGAGATGTGTGTGGAATGGTAGGATGCTGCAGCGCTGCACTGATAGTCAGCTGCTGGCCGTTGCCATCTCTCCTTGGAAGGGGAATGGAGTTGCTGGCTGCTTGCACCTTGGACCCCTGACAATCCTAGGAGCTGCTAGAGGACAGTTATTTGGCCTAACATCCGTATTGTTGAAGTGCTTTGGTTGCCACACTGGGTATGAATGTTCCCCAGCAATCATTAAAGCTGCAGGAAAACGAGCATCCCGATGGATGCTGGTAAACATTGCTTTGAACTAGGTGCTGTGCAGCTGTTTTACTGAGATATATTTTGTTTTTGTCTACCTTTTTACAAGGATCAGGAAACAATCTGGTGATTTACTGTTAAGAATAAATCCAGTGTACATGTTCACCAAAAAAGATTATGTGTCCAGACTGATACACAGTTATATCTTCAGAGGGCTTGAAACAGCTCTAATTTGATTGTTAGAGGAAAGCTCCTTCAGCATCCCCCAAATTAAATTCATTTACAAAGACAAAATAGACTTCAAAGCATAAAATTTTCCTGTCTGGTTTCAGTCTATCATCTTTCTTTCTGATGAACCACTTCTGGATGGAAGAAACTCCCCAGATATGGACTCAGTAGACGCTTTGTAAAAATTGCAGTTGTAAGCACTGGCTTGTGGCTTGAAGCTTGTTGTTGTGGTGACACTTAGGAAACAGTTAATTAAACAACGCTCATTCCCAAGGTGATCCTGAAGCACTGTGTGCTGAACGTGCCTCTGTGGGTTTGAAAGTAAGGTTAAGCTGTTTGGAAAGCAGAGGACATCCAAGCGAGTGATGGCTCCATCCAAAACCAAAAGTAATCTGGTTTGGAGAAATAGAGGCATTTGCCAGTCCGTGATCGAAGATTGTGGCCAACTGCAGCTGGGACGAACACACAAAAGGACACCCTCTTATTTAAGACAGAAGTCTGTATATGTGCTCACTGTGTTATATCATCAGTGAGTTATTTGAATAGTAAATAAGGCTTTGTATTACTTTCATTCTTGCTTTATTGCATTTGCTGCTCTACACAGTATGTACAGCATTGGCACAATATAGCTTGCAAGCTAGCTAAAGCATTAGCAGAATTGGTAACGGTGTTCCAAAGCCATAATGCTTTGATTGTGCTACTGTTAAAGCCAGGAAAAAAACAAAAACACAACCCCAGATCCCAACAGTTGTTTGCGTTTCAGGCTGTTGTACAGAGTTAAAAACTAATAGCTTAAAAGAGAAGCAAATGTAGTTTGGAACTTACTGAGATGAGACAAAATGAATATGGCTTCCAAAGTACCTGGGTTTTTTTTTTGGTGTCAGCATTCAGAAAAAACAGAACTGTGAATAGTATAAATCAAGAAAGGGAGCAGTAATAAGGAATGTGAAAGATACTGGGCTTAAATTAACACGGAAGATGCTGATTAAGTTCACTCCGAACAGGGGTGTAGGCTGTGTTGAAAAACATTTCACTCCTTGCTCTGAAATTAGATATTTAACAGCACACTGAAATAACGTGGATTTTAAAAGTTGAGATAAACTTAATGTGGATTAATTTTATTTTGATAAATGAGTATACTGCTGAATGAAGTAATGTGACTTGTCTGAATATACAGCTGTCTAATGGGATGGAGGAATGGATGTATGTACTGGTGCTAGAGTGTACTGCATGCTGTAACTGGAGTGTTAGGTTAAGTAGAAGATTCTTGAGAGATGGCCATGACAAGCAGCAGAAATTTTTGTCAATATCAAAAGAAACAAATACAGACTTCAGTTTGAAATTAATCTTTCACTTGCCAAATTAACACAGCTTCATATTATGCGTGTTGTCTAAAAGTTGGCATAGACCTTGAAGATCTTGTATGCGTAGATGTGCGGTGTTTTTTCCATTGACAGCAGCTGCTGTAGGACAACAGCTCTGCCTGCAAACCTGGTCTGCTTTTCCTTAGAACCTGGCACCATTGCTCCAGGTTCTCATCTGCTTTCTGGTGGAGGTAAACCTGGAACAACTGGGCCAGCTTGTTGAAGTTGCTTTGGATTTGCATATTACTGTCTCGTATTACGTACATTTTATAAGAGAAGTCCTTGTAATTTAGATTGACATGCAACTATCTCCTCAAATGATGACTTCTGCTAGCCCACAGGATGTCTGTGTGGAATCATCTCAGAAATGCAGGTAGATGGTGTGCAGTGTTATTAAGCTGCCTCTGGCTGACCCCAGGAGAAACACAGGAAAAGTATTCATGGGGTTTTCTTTTATCCTTTCCAAAGTACAAGTTTTGAGTCAGCTACAAGAGAGGTTTTCATATCAACAGCTTGAAAATGCAGCAAAACCTTTTTGATTTTGCTATTGGAGTGCTGATGGCAAAGAACTAGTACTCTGTTGCCAGCGAGCCAGCCATTAAATGTATTTCAGGTATAAGGGTCCCAGTATGCTAGTTTGCATGAAGAAAAGCAGGTCAGTCTTCTCTATCTGGATTGGTCTTCCAGGATGAAATGAGTCTCCACATGCTTGTCTTGGCGTTCTCTCCCTTTAGATTTGTAGCTGATGAGAAAGTAGAGCAGAATAGTCCTGCTGAGTGCATCTCCCAGAGCAGCACAGAGCTGCTCAGCATCGTGTCCCCAGTGCATTGGCATTGTGGGTCCAGCCCGTGTTCCACGTGAAGCACAGGTGGGACTGCGAGAGGTCAGTGGTGAAGCGCAGAGCTGCTCCTCCACTTCCCAAAAACTGGAAACCGTGGCATGGAGTGTTTGGAGAGGAACTTCTCTGGCCACATCTGGTAAATGAAGCTGAAATGAGCTGTCTGTTACTGGCAACTTGGTGTCTGTGCAGGCAGATGGACCTCTGGCAGGAGTCATTTGTTGAGTGACTGCTGAAACCATCAGTATTGGCATCTCCTGTAGTTCGTCCTGTCATCTTCCACCCCTTACTACTCCTGGAGAAACAGAAAGGCTGAGCACTGCTAAAATACTCTCAAAATTGAACTGCATTTGGTATACATTCTTTCCTGTCCAAAATAACATCCAAAAGATTAAGCATTTGTATGTCCCTCTACCTTTTAATTGGTGGTTTTGTTGAAAAAGATCTGAGAGAGCTGTAACTGTAATTTCCCTTCCTTTCATTACTGATACAATTGGAAGCTGTTAAAACTCGCTATTAAAGTAATTAACAGTACAGAAACCCAGGAAGTGTGATACCATATTGAACAAAGTAAAAGATGGAACTTAGGACCTGAAAAATAGTAGCTTCTGAGTGGCTTTCCTGTCAGTGCACCTCAGATACGTGGCGTTACTCTACTGATTTTTCAACTTTATTCACCAATGAGACCAGTGTTTGTCATATTTAAGTTATGTACGAAAAAGTGGGTATTTTATTTTTTTTTTTAGGGTTTTTTGTTTTGTTTTAAAAAACTTGATACATGTAGCGTTGGATCAAGGCACATACAAGACCGGCCAAAGGGCGTACAATGCACTTTGGTTTTTAGTTGAAAAGACAAATGATTATGGCAACAAAGTGTGGCTTGGGGTTTAAACATGAAATAGCATATAGTCCAGCAGGAAGGCAGAAAGAAACGTTACTTTACAGATTTAGCAAGGAATTTCTGGAAAACTGTGAGAGTAATGGGCAGTATTCCTGACTGTAATGGCAGTACAGTTTACGCGTACCTACAGAACGTTTAAGTATATGCTTTAAAATATCTGCATTCCCCAATTTTCTTTTGACCTGGGTGACTAAAATTTATGAGACTGCTTGCCTGCTTTTCGTCCGCTTTGTTTTCCTTACCAAACTGTACTTCCAGCCCTTCTGCTGAAGAACAGTTGCTCAGTGTTCTCCCTGTCCCTCTGCCACTGCCTTCCAAATGTCTGTGGCCATCCATCACCATTTTCTCTCTAACAGACCGCTGGTGCTGATAACCAGAAATCCATCCTTACACCCTGTCTACCCCTTGGTTACTGGAGCCTAGCGCATTTCTTTAGAATTCCTTGTTAGGAATTTTGTTACGCTTTCTTCCAAGGGTCAGTTTTTTCTTTACACATGCCAACAGTTTAAGTCTCGTGCATGTAATTGATTTGATTATTTTCTTTTTAGATTGGATTTCACCATTGTTGGATGGATGTGTCCAGACAGCTGATATTGCCCATTACTACACGCATTTTTGTTTATTGAATATTGTCGTGGTTTACAGATTTAACAGACCCAACATTTAAGTTCTGTGAGTTTTTGCAACCACTTCTTGATCTTCCTGATTCGCCAGGTTTAACATTATTTTATTAATACCAAAGTGAAAAATGGCCTGTGCTTACACTTACAAGGATCTCAGATGAATGTTCTGACTGCTCAACACGGCAAGAAAATTCACTTTCACAGTCAACAAGTCATCTTACTCAGTAGAACACAAAAGTTAAATGGTCTGTAACTTCAATATTAGCAAGGAAAATACAGTACAAATTACTAAAAAATACTAAAATATAGAATTGTGGTCAGGTATCCCCACTACATTAATCGCAGCAGTAGCCTGAAATTTGAAACTTTTAATAAAAAGTTCTTAAATATAAATTATATGGCAAATGTACAGTACATTGCTTTGTCAGTCTTTAATCCAGTGTTTTGCAGTAGAACAGCAACCGTTAAAAGTCAGTCTTTTCTCTTTTTTTTTTTTAAAAAAAAAACAAACAAACAACAAACCAACCAAAAGCAAACCAGTCTTTCATGTCCTTCAGTATCATGAGTGTGAATGATCTGAATCTGGAATACCACTGTCTCTGTAGCTCCTGTTACTACTGCTTTCACTGTGGCTGTTCTTATACAGATTCATGCCGTTAGGGGGGAAAATGGTGTGTATTACAAACTCCTCCTTGGACACCTGGTCGTTGGTGATGGGTATCATCTGAAAAGAAGTCTCCCTGATTTCTAGGATGGAGTTGTCCTTCTTAGTGCCCGCCTCAGCATAGTCATCCTTCCTCCTGCGCCCCTTGCTGTAGGCGCAGTGCCGGGAGAAGAGGGCCCCATTCCTGTGGACGTACCAGCACACCAGGGCCAGCAGTGCCAGGGCCACCAGTGCCACCGCGCCACCAATGATGGCGGCCAGAGGCACGCTGGAGTTCTTGTAGGGCTCCTTTTCTTGCTCCCGGTTGAGTGTGGTTGTCGGGTTGTACATCTTGAGGGGAGCTGTCTCGGTCTCGATGCATTCAGGTGTCTCGTCAGAGAGATAGATGTTGCTGGTTTCCATGGGGACCATGCACACACGGTACGGCGACTCGGGTTCGAGTGCTGTAAGCAGATAGTCGCTCCTGTCCCCTGTCACGATGGTTTCAGTTATAGATCCAAAGGCAGGGCTGTGGCCCATCTTGAGCCAGCTGAGCCGTAAGGCTGTCATTGGCAGCGCAACTTTCCAGGAGATGTGGATGGTCTCTGTGCTCACCGATTTCACGAATATCGTAATGATCTTGCGTACCGGGCTGGCCGTGGTTCTGTAGTTCTTGTTTAGGTTGGGGGTCTTGATGTCTGGTTGTTTGGTCACAGAAACCGGCCAGTGTCCCTGGGCTGGGTACAGTGTGTTGGGTACTGCGGTGGTGATCTGGATGGTGCTCATGTCATCCTTACAGTCGAACAGTTCCGCGTTGAGGTCTTTGATAGCCATTCCGCGCACTTTTTCTGGTGCTTGGCACATCAGCCCGCGTACGTTCACTTTCAAAGGCAATGACTGCAACCAGTCACGGACCCACTTCATTTTGCACCCACAGTGCCAAGGGTTGTTGCGAAGAAACAGCTGAGTTATGTTGTCCAGGTCATCAAAGACGCCCTGAGGTAAATTGCTGAGATTGTTATTGGACATATCTAGTCGATACAACTGCCTTAAGTAAGAGAAAGCATTGGGTGGCACGTGATTGATATGGTTTTCTTGAAGATAAAGCTTCCTTAGGTTTGTTCCTGGCAAATTTACTGGTGCGGCTGTAAGTGAATTGCGAACCAATGACAGTTCTGTAAGATTGACTAGATTCATGAAGACCTTGTCTCCTAATCCGTGGTTATTTAGAAGATTTCCATCTAGAACAAGGCGTTTTAGATTTGTAAGGTCTTGAAGGGACAGCTCTGAAATTGTGGAAATACGATTATCATCCAAGCGTAGCTCTTCTATTGTTTTAGGCAAACCCCAGGGAATGGTGCTAAGGTGATTTCGAGAGAGAAAAAGAAGTCTGAGATAGATGTTGTCCCTGAAAGCTCCATCTTCAATGCTAACAGCGGAAACAGAATTATCATCCAAATGCAGTTCTTCCAGATAAGGAATTTGTGAAAGCGAATCATAAGTGATGGTCCTTATATTATTCTCCTGCAAATGCAGTTCTTTGACGTACTTAGGGAGGTTAGTGGGGAATTCGTCTAGGCTGTTGTGGTATAAAAATATTCTTTCAACCCTACGCAAGTTCTTCAGTTCTGATGGAATCCCAGCATTATTTATTTGATTGTTCTGAAGGAAGAGGTTAGTAGCATCCTCTGGGATTCCTGTAGGAATAGATGTCAAATCGCGATCATTACAATATATGAAACCCACATCACAGCGACATACTGATGGGCACGGTTTGGCAGTGACAGAATAAGGTGCCATGTCAAGTAACAGCCCTATTTTAGTCCAAATTAGGAAGACGCTCCAGGGTACAGTAATCATGGTCAGGAATGATGAGATGATGAGTTCTGATCTTCAAAATCTAAAAACAAACAAACAAACAAAATTATCCAGATCATCAGCAATGAAATGCAATGAAAATCTGACTTCAGCATTACAGAAGACATCTGACATACAGAACAAAAATTCAAGTCTGTAGACATTCTACTTTTTCTACATATATCAATAACAATATTTCTGCTTTTGCTAATTCAATTAATAGACTATTCTGAATAGTAATTTAAAATAATATAATCAGGCATGTCTGATCCATGAGTGGTTTAGTTTAACCAAGAAGGCTCCTTCTGAAGATTCCTCCCCATTTCACATATAGAGGCAATCTTTGTTCGCACATACCAGATAAGTACACAGCTGAAGTCAAACCAGAGTTCAAGTAAATCATTCTATATCTGAAAGATAAGAAGTAATTCCTAAGCCAGCTAACTACCTAGGAGCCCTTAAGTGAACTATAAAACCCTTACCAAACCCAGAAGTTCAGTGGTAGCTATTCTGGAGGTTCAAGAAAGTCCTAGTGGCACGGTACAAAATGCAGATGAGAACAGAGCCCAGCTCCAGATTTTTTTGGGTTTTTCTGGGAACTTAACACCACATGGTGAGTTTTACAAATACTGCAGCTTACTCTTCTTGTTTTTCAACCTGGAATGTTTAGAAAGGTGAACGTAACAATTGGTGTGCAGCTTACAAGCCAACAGAGCTGTCTGAGCTGTGGCTTTCTAGTTGGCTGGATGGAATATTTCATTACATGCTTAATTTCATGTTTAAATATTTGTCATTCTCAAAAGTCTTCTTGCTAAGCAGTACACTAATAAGAGACTATTTGGCAGGTTTAACCACATTTTCACATCTTATTAGTTCATACTGTGCAGGGTGGGATAATATAAACTAACTCTTGAGACTGAAATTGTACTTTGCACTGGTAGCGTGTTTGTGCACTGAGCTCAGGTAATTAGCATTTTTATAGCTTTTAAGACAACATAATTCAATTACCACTGTAATTAGGGTGGTGAAAACTTCTGTAAGATGCCCTATGCATTAAGCAGTGTCATGACCCTTTCTCTTGTGGGTTCATATATTAACTGAACTTCATTCTCCAAGGCATGAAAAGGAAAACAGATTCATATTGATCCTACCGTATTTAAAGGTAAGAGTAAATTTTGTGCTTGAGGATATCCAGCAAACAAATTCCTCTCTTGCTCTTATACTTCACTCCATGGACGACTTCTCCGTCGGCCGCCCCCTCCTGGTGGTGCTCGCTCCCAGGCACTATGCTCCAGGAGCAACCCAACAAAGATTTACCATGGTATGTAAGCACACCGGCCGAGGAGCAGAAAAGCTTCAGCTTCTGTTTCTGTTCTCGTGTAAAGTCTGTGAATGGAGAGCCTCTTTTGTTTGGCTTAATGCCTTTAACAAGAATTACTTTCTTTGTAACTTGTACAAGCTCTTTTGTGGGATGCAGTAGCTGGGAGGTTGGAGCTTGAGCGCCGCGTGATGGAAACTATTCATTATGCTGGGGCCTGAACAAGGATCGCCTCTTCAGGAGGTCAGCAATGGAGGTTTATCTCTGTCCAGAGTTATCCAAGGATAAACTTTGTACAGCAGCTACATCCTGATACATCCACACCTCTCAGAGAGGACCATTTCTTAACACTTCTTCCCAATTTGTAATGCAGGAAAGAATTCCTCCTGTGCTGCACGCTGAAGCCGGTCCCCCGGCTGTAGGAATGTTACACAATTCAGGTGGTCTTCTTCATAAAAAGACACCAAAGTGTTAATTCCCTTTACAGAAAACTCCTCTTTAAAGCTTTCCGTGAACTCTTAATTTCCTGTAAAAGTAAAAACAAACAGAAGAAATTGTAATTAATAACAACTGCTGGACACTATTATTCTGTTGTATTCCGTTCCCATGTAAATCATGCTGTGCTTACTGTACAAAATCAGCACATGGTTTTATCCCAATACATCAGTATTTCAGCAAAATGCAGGGATGTTTATTAACAGCTTCTGCTGTTTAGTCTCACGTGGTTGCCATTTTGCTGGAACAAATCTTTTCCCTCCTTCCAGCAGCAAATGAAGTCATTGTGCATTAACAGACAGTACCAAAGTCTTTGCAAATGATGTTTTCCCGCTCGAGGACAAATGGCAGTCCTGCCATGGGAGGAGTTAACGTGGTTGCTTGCTTTTTGTTTCAGGCAAACAGAAGTAGATCATGAACCTCTCTTTGGTATTAAATTTAAAATGAGTTAATTACAATTCAGTACTTGTTGGATGAACGAGGAGAAGTTTTCACTGAAATACAGAATTAATGTTTCACATGTGCATCCTGCTGTTTCTGCGTTGTGGGCTAGCTAGTAGTCATCTGTATCAGCTTCTTGAAAATGGAGGCATGTGGGTTTTCTCCATAAAATGTGCTCAGTATGCCAAGCTGTCTGAACTCGTGAGCTACTGTATTTGTCATTTTGCTCAGTGGAGTCACTGTTTAGATTGACATTTTATTAATTTGATTTTTCTCACTTCACAAATAAAAGTAACCTCGGCTTTTCTTATTACTTGAGGAACCATTTGGCCGTTTTTAAGGACAGAAAGTATGCAGTGAGATACCGAGTCTCTGTTCCCTGAGAGCATGTAGGCAGTATCTGTCTGAAATACCAGTGGTTAAGTCTGAAATCAAATCCTCGGTACTGAGCATGGTCCTCAGCACTGAAAAGCCCTGAAGAAACAGTGGGCTGAATAAGGCTTGTGTAACTCCCTTCATGTGGGCATAGCTGGAGCTGCTTCTGGGCCATCATAAAATAACAGAGCTGAACAAAAGCAGTTTCTGCTTTAAGACTCTTTTGTAATTGGAAGCAGGCATCATGAAGTCTTCGTGCAGTACTTTCTACTCCTGTAGCAACAGATTTGCACTGATAAAACAATTATTTTCATACATAAAACCATGGTTTTCCTCTTCAGCAGCATAAAGATGAGCATTTGAGAGGAAAAAAAAATAGCAAAACCAAACCCATTCTTGTGATGGTGCGAGCGTTCCGTGAGGGAACAGTAAAGCCTCTGCTCCCCTGAAGCTGCTGTAATGCTTATCTGAGGGTTGGTTTTCTGCTTGTTTTTCACCTTGCTTCAGCAGTCGTGCAATGAAAATTGTAAACCGAAATGAGAGACGTTCTGTAAGATGGGCAGAATTAAGCATCTAAAGATACTCTTTACTTTTTAGTAAAACTAAGGTTCTGTGTGGATTATAAAGGAATGCATGTTTTTTTAGGGATTGGTTAATATATGCAGTCAGTATTAGAAAATGGAACAAAAAAAGCTCCACATTCTTTGAGATTAAGCAGCATCCAATTTCCTTGGTCTGTATCATTCAAGTGTTTGTGGAAACTTAAGTCCAGGATCTATTCCCAAAACTTGGAAATGAAACAGTTGCTTAAGAGCTACATAAAAATAATGTGTCTCATAGGAAGCAATGTGAAGTTGTGACAGAGGACATTTTCTGGGAGTTGTGTGGTGAAGTAAGAGTATAAATTTGTTGTTAAGTAGGCCTTTGAAGGCTTTGAGTCACTTTTAAGAAGCTGAAAAAAAAATAATCTCATAAATTGTTCCTCAGAACTTTTACAGCTGTTAAGTAGGCTGTAAAAAAAATAAAAATGAAAAAGGCACGTTGCTATTGATCAAAACTATCTCTAGTGTGCATACAGACACGAGAAAGTTAAGTGCATTGGCTTTACCTTTCTAGCATATAAACAGCTTCCTCTCTGCCCCGTCTGATTGTCAGCCCTTTGCTTATTGCTGCCATTATAATAGCGGTAATGTGTGGGATTAAAATGAAAGCACTAAAGCTCATTAAGTTCTTGGAATTTTTTTTATCCCTTCTCTCGAAATTACATAAAAACAAGGGAGGAAAATAAAAGCAGGTCTCTTTGGAGAAGATGATACTGTTTCAAAAATGTGGATTAAGCCCGTGCCCCCCACTCCCTTTTCTGAGGGCAGAATAGTTTTCTCCAGGTTCTGATTGTTTGATATCTTGCACTTCCCTTTTATATCTGGAGCCACAGCTGAAAACAATGTTTTTGCATATCAAAGGCTCCAGCGATCTGTCTGCACAGAACGGAATCCTGCTGCCCTGCTCCAGCCCTCCTCCTCCCATCCCCGGCCTGGGATGAAAGCAGAGGGGACCCGCTGGGTGTGCAGGTCCCCGCAGCACCAGCATGGGAGGCTTCATGGACACATGGCTCTGAAAGGAGCCATTAATTTCGAGCAGAGCAGGAAAAAAAGATGGATTTCTGAGAGTGCATTCTGAAATTCATTTTTAAATGACTTTTTGGTAACAAAAGTAAGGAGGGAACAGCCGAACGGCAGCTTTTGTGCTTATCTTCATTGGGAGCTGAATATATTTTCGTGAACTTTGCTGAACTGTGTGGTTAAATTACTTTTCCTGGGACATTGTGTAGGCAGCCGTGTTACAGACAGCGGGGATGCCCAGACCTGCACCTGGACTTATCGCCGGGCTACAGCTCATTTTGAAATGGTAAAAGCAATTTGCACTGCGTAAGAGAAAATACCAAAGCACAGAGTATTTCTTGTAACACGTGGTATGCAGCTGCCCTGCCTTAAGGAAAAAAAAAGAAGCAAAAGAAAAGCTGTAAGTTTTTCTAAAAACGGTGCCAAAGAGATTTCTTCTTTCTAAGATGTGATAAAACATGAGTAACACCCAGACCTGCCACTTCAGGTCCCACAGTGCTTACTTTAATCCCCATCTGCCCCAGCATAACCAGGAGCTGGCTGCTAACCTCCACACAACAGGGCACAGGGACAACTTTCACCCCGTATTTTTAGGTAGTAAAGGACAAGAGTAACTTCAAGTTATTAGGATACGCATATTGACAAGCCTAATGACTTTGCTTAACCTGTGTACTAAGACTGCAGAATTACCTCTGCATTTGTTATGATCAGAAACATAAAATGCACTTGAAATTCCACTGGACCCATCCACTGCATGTGCTGCCAGGTTAGTTCTCAGAGGTCACAGCTCCTCTTGGATAGTTTCACCAAGATTTCAACACAAGTTCCACGGTGCTAATCTGTCCTTAAAACAATGCACATGCTTTGATTTTTTCAAGTGTATTACTCAGACTTAGTTGATAGTGACAGCAAAATGCTTTCTAAGCACCCTGTCTAGGAGCTGAAATTTCCACGATCATCATATTTCAGGAAGGTGCCCCACTCCTTTGTTCAGTGTGAGGCAAGCACAAGGTCCTCTGCCTGTCTTTTCCAGGGCTAAAGAATGCAGAGGTTTTTGTTAAAGTGAGAGCAAGCTCCCCAGGTCTCTATGCTTTGGTGAAACGTGCTTTATTTTTTTCCTCTTGTCCAAGAAGGTTTTATTTATTTTTTTGCTTATCCCTCCCCCTCCATCTTGTGCGGTAGCTGAATATAATATTGCCTTTGTCCTTCTAGTTCTCACGTGCCTTAAAAATGAAAAATTTAATGTGTTCTTCCCTCTAATGGGATTGAATCTGACTCCGAAATGGGTTCCGAGTGGAAGCTGAACTTCGTGCCAAAGGTGAGCCAAGGCAGCATCTGCTGCAGAGGAGGGAGACTGACTATGAGCGAGCGGTTCAGTGCTTGCTCTCTGAAGTTCACTTTTAAAACCCTTCCTGGCTTTGAGGACATTGGCTCGAAGAGCACCGTGGTGCTGCGCAGTGCTGTGCCCTGCAGGGCCTGCCTGCTCCCACGGCCAGGGAGGGGGAGCACAGTGCTCTGCATCGTGGTGCTCGCCCAGCTGGGCCAGGGATGGCTGCTGGGCTCTCTCTGGGAGCTGCTGTGGGGGTGAGGCATTTGCTTGTGCTTAGAATGAGAGAACAGGCAACAAATGCTGCTCTGCTTCCACGGGGAAATCACTGGTTTTCCCTCTTGACAAATTTAGGTGGAATTATACCCTGCACAGAGTCCCTGGTGCAAAACGTTAAGCGTATCCAAACCGTTACTGAAATACCGCATACAGCTGCCGTAGAGATTTGTTTCTTTCCTCTTTTGTCTGCTCGCCTACCGATGACCAGATTTACTGCTCTGATCTGAAAACTTGACAAGCTGTGGGGCTGCCAGGCTGCTTCAGTGCATGCAGTGAGCTCTGTGCAGCGCACTGTGGGCACGGCCAGCCTGCACCGAGCGAGCCGGGGCCTCTTATTAAAAATACACGTAAGCAGTCGCCTATTAATTCTCCTGAGCCGCCTCGTGCCTCGAGGTGATTAAAGCAAACCTCGAGAGCTCCCCGGCCATTAGCAGGCAGGCTTCCTGCTGGAAGGAGACAAAGATGGCCATCCACCCACTGAAGGCACTCGGAAAAACAGCAGCGCAAAGTTTGCAAACTCCAGCAATGCCTCGGACGGCTCACCGGTGCCTTTCGCGCTACCTTTCCACTCTGTGCTACCGCTTACAAAGGGAAAACGAAAAAGCAAAGCCCCACCAGTGCACCTTTATTTGATTCTCGCCCTGAAACGTTTGCATTTCATTTCCAAAGATGAAAGCTTGGCTGCGACTTTACTACGGAGTTTTTTGCCCGCTGGGGGGTGGTGCACGCTGCAAAACGGCGCTGCTGAGAGCCACCAGGCAGAGAGCTTTGCTGCTGTCCAGTTCTCCCTGCTTTAATTACAACAAAGTCTCCTGTTGAGAAAAACAGAGGCGGCCTCCAGCGGGGGAATTAAAATAAAATGAAATAAATTATTCTTTCGGGGACTTTACAGAATCTTATTTCCCGTGATGGTTGTATTAACTGTGGTATTCATCCATCCGCTCCTTCCCCAGTTAAAATTAAACGGTATGAATGCAAAAAAAAAAAAAAGAGAATCGATATTCGAATGCACACCAAAGCCGGGCACTGCTTCTGCCGTATGCGAGGAGCAGGGAAAATACATATACCGCTTTGGGAAGTGGTGAAACGTGGCTGGAGAAAAGGGAAAACCTGCGAGAGGGCAATCAGCACGGCCTCGGCAGCTCTTAAAGTAACAAACAGGCTTCAGACGAAGCCCGGCGTACCTTTTCCTTACAGAGCATTCGCACACCGAGCAGAAGCCGGGCAGGCTCACGGGGCTGGGGGGAACGAGAGAGCGGAGGGGATTTTCGGGTGGAGGGGAAGGGCTGGCAGCGCTCACAACTGTCCCCGTGTTCGGCCGCATCTGTGCGTTTCGCAGCACATCATTCCTGCCTGCCGTCGCACGCTCGGCTCGAAAAACGCATTTATTTGGCTAATTGAAAGAAATGTTCATTAAGACGCCATGTCCCCGGGCGGCAGGCTGGGGAGCGCAAGCGATGCTTCTGTCTTATCGGGCAGCGCGTTTTAGGCGAGGAAATCGGCTTCAGAAACGGAATCGCCGCTTTAAGTCCACTCGTTTTCTGCCTCTCTCCCGACTCCCCGCACGACGCCGGGATCCCGGGCCGGGCGGCCAGGGGAACAAAAGCCCGAGGGCAGAAAGCAGCGCCAGAGCGGAGCGCGGAGCCCAGCGCCGGCTGCGAGAGGTGGGCTGGGAGCTCGGGGAGCCGCGCAAAAGTTGACGGCAAGTAGGGACGGAGCGCGGGGGCCGCGCGGCTCTGCTCCCCGCCGGCGGCTTCGAACCGTGCCCCCTCCTGCTCCTCCTTCTTCTCCCTCACCCCGCGGCCGACCCGCGCGACTCCCGCGGAGGCAGAGCGGAGCAGCACTTACCTGCGGTGCGCGGGTTGGAGGCTGGCTGCAGCGAGGCGGCCGCCGTAAATCCCACCGGCGGGCCGGGAGCCGCGCGGCCAGGTGCGGAGCCACGAAGAGAGGAGCGCACGGAAGCGCGGGGCAGCCGCCGAGCTCGCCCTCAAGTCGCGGCGGCAGCGGGCAGCCGCGGGGGCGGGGCCGCACGTCAGCGGGGGGCGGGGCCTCGGCGGGAGGGGCGGGGCGGGGCGCGGCCGCTAGGGGGAGCAGCAGGCGGCGCCATAGCCGTGCCGCGGGAGGGGCAGCGCCGCGGGCTAAGGGGAGCGGTGGCGCGGTGCCCGTGCGCCCCAAGGGCAGCCGTGAGGTCGCGGGCGGCTCGCTTCGCGCTCGAAGTTTTGGCTTCTCTGTGAGTAGTGGGAGCGGTAATGAGGTGTAGAAGCGCTTGAGGAAAGAAAGTAAAATTTCAAAGCACTAAAAAGTGAGGAGTTCGTGGCTCCTTCAGGGTGCGGGTGCTCAGCACAGTGTGGTGGCAGAGCTGCCTTGTGGTGAGGGGCCATGCGCTCCCAGCTGCTTTCTCACCGAGCCAGGTTCCCTTTTATTCATGGTTAATCAACTGGTAAGCCAAACTGTGGGCTTCTTTGCCGTGTCCCTCTTTCCTGGCTGGCAGCATGGAGGTGAGCTGCTTCCCCCTCCTCCATCTCAGTCTTGTGGTCCAGCTGCCAACATGGGGGCTGAGAGGACAGCAAGCCCCCAGCATGGCAGCAAGCCCCCAACATGGCGGCTGACCCCAACATGGCGGCTGACTCCAACATGGCAGCCTCTTGTACCTCAGCTGCATTTGTGTGGGTGTTGAAGGCTGCAAAGCTGAGCTCTGTTGAGGTTAAAGGGAGCTTAATTTCTCCTAGGCTTGTGGAAAGTGCTGGAAAGTTGTGCTTACTGAGTGAGTTTTGAGTATTTCAGCTCTGTTTGTTTGGCTTTTGGCGAAACCGAACATCAGGTAGGAAGAGTTGCAGCTCACCTTTTTATAGGAGGAATTCTAATAGATTTTTGAATGCCTGCGTGGTGTTTAGGTGTTCTGAATTCATTCAGCCAATTTAGAAAATAAATAAATAAATCCTGGGTTGATCTTCCTTGACAGTGGGAAAAGGATATTTTTTCTTTATCGTTTCAATTCTAATCTTTCTCCAAGGATGGTAAAAACTCATAAGGAATTGACTTTAAGTTGAGGTGCAATTGTCAGTCAATTGTAGAGTCCTGGCAAAGTGAGCTGTGCCCTAATCTGCTCAGTGTGAGAAACTCATACGTTGTAATGTGTTTGTAATGTATTTTACACACCTGTATGCCTATGTATAAGCCCATGTTATACAAACTTAGATGTGCCCTGTGTTGCAGTGTCTGAGTTCAGATGTTTGGGACACGACCGTGGACAGGAAGCATTTTGAGATTCTCTGAGTAACCTGCAGATATTTTAAATGAAATTTCACTGAGATTATAGCTTTTTTAATTTTTATTTTTTAATGTACGTTTGGTATTTCGCATGCCCGACTTAATGCATTAGTTGCCTGGTGTTACTGTGGCATGCTGCTGAAACTGAATGTATAGCTCTGGGATATTCACAGAAGTCATATATGGTACTCCCTCAGCTACCTCGTGGTGCTGTTCCAAGGCTGGCACAGTGCTTCCAGCACCAGTTAGAAATAACAGTAAATATTCCTGGAGAATTCCAATGGGCATGTGAGAGATAATGAGATTTTACCAAGTCACAGCTGCTTTAAAGTACTGAAAGGTTTTTCACATGTTGTCGCAAGCATATTTTTGACTGTATTATTTTATGTAAGCTCTTTAACTGTATTCCTTGAGAACGTGGTTTGCCTTTAAAATACTTTCCACAAATAATGGTATGTGTTGTGAACTCAACCCTCTTCTCTGTTTTGGTCTTAATCTATAGAAATTCAAAGCTTCTTGAATTCCAGGAGACTTGAGGAACTCTGTTAATACCGATGAAGTTTCTCGTATGCAGGAAATGAAAATATGCATATGTAACACAGATATACCAAACTCTATTAATATAATGAGTTATTTTAATTGAATTCTGAAGTTAAAATAATCTTTTCACCTATATTTTATATATGAAATTAATTAATGCTTGTGACATGGAGATTAAATGCTTGTCAGACCTATAGGGAAATTACCTTTTGGAAAACTTGGCAATTTTGCTAACGATTAACAGGCTGGAAGATTGTGGAAGATGGCAGATGGGAAATTGAGAGTGCTTACAGTATGTAATGTGTTTCGAAGAATGATAATGGAAGTTTATAACTCACATATGTAAGGTGCTGTCAGGTCGAAGCGATAACAATGCTGCTTGTTGTTTTGTGTAAGTGCCCCGATGGCATGATAAGAGGCACAGTCCTGGGAACTGCCCTCAGCCAAAGGTCGACCTCAAGGACTCTGGCTGCGACTTGACAGTGTTTTGGATCTCCTTTGTTCTACTGTAGATCAGGTTTCACTCGTAAACGTTTCTGGGCAGGACACTTACGAAACGTTAAGAAACCAAACGCATTGACCGGGAAGTGAAATTGAATCAGAGATCAGTCATCCTCAGAGCAGAGGACAGAGAGCCTTCTTTGCGAGTAGAAACCGAACTGTTGCTGCTTCAGGCTCCTCAAGGATGAATTTCAGTTAGGTAGCGCTGAGAGTAATAGTTTGATATTCAATGAAATACCCTGAAATGAGCGTTAGTGGTTTTTAGCTTTAGGCTTTTATCAGGTTATATTGATTTTTCAAAGCAGGCTGTCCCACTTCCAAGTTAGGCATTGTCTGATTTGTGGAGACATCTAAGAAAAGAAAGTGCTATAATATATGAACTTTTCTGTGATTCTATGGCTTAGAACATTTTTGGATATCGCCTAAGCACAGTTTCTCAGCAAATATGTATTACAGTTTGAATTAGCGTCTTTAAAAGATTTGAGCCAATTTAAAATTAGAATCCAATTCGGGATAAATTCCTTCAAAATTAAATGTCCGTCAGGCTCAGCTTTTAGCACTGTGTACCTACAGTAACTTGTCAAAGTTGGTGCAGCATCTCTGCATCAAATGCAGCAGAAATGAGAACGTGGTCATGAAAGACAATCCACAGCAGAGCTAAAAAGGTACAAGTGGTCTAAAACTCAACAGTTGGTTTAGATTGGTTGGGCTCAAGTGTGATTGTTCTTTTTTTTTCTCCGTGACAGAGGAATGTTTGAGAGAGAATGGTTGTAATTGTAATTATTCTTTTGTCTGTCTTGACAGGCCAGGAGATTAAACATCTACACCTGTGTTCTCTGCCATTCCTCTCCCTTCTCTCCATGCTTTTTTCCTCTTCTGCTTTCTAACTCTCCTGAATATCCCCAGGGGAAAGCCTTGTCAGCTCAGAGACGCCCCTGATGTAACCGCATCACTATTTTTCCTAAGGCAGACTAACAGTTTTGCTCATCGCATTATGTGCTATTGATAGCAAAATTAAGTCACTTAATGGACTATATGAAATTGCAAAGCTAATAAGTGAGCTATTTACTTTTTTACTCGCAGAATGTACAGAAATTGGTAGAGAGATCTGACAGATTAAGTTCATGCTAAGAAAGGCCGTTCCTAATGCTTACGACTGATGGCTTTCTGTGTTTAAGAGGCAATTTCTTCTAAGCGTCAAACCATGAAGCCACCTTGACAGAGCTTTTAGGCAAGGCAAGGGCTAACTCTTTCAAGATCTATCTGTATAGTTTTTGCTTGCAAACTGGATGAAGTAAGCAATGCTGTCAGAGCAGAACAGGCTTTCCATACTTACGACACGTCTTTGAAGGTTCTCCACCAAATGTGTGTTGAAGAATAATAACACGCTCCTAAAACAGCCTTGAAAATTTGATCTAGATTGTTAGTAATGTCTACCATGTGTGAGGAATGATCCTGCTGAGGACAAAACTGCTATTCCTCCCTGAGATTGCTGCTTATATTTTCAAGTTCAAGTTTTTATATATAGAACCTGTACTGAGCCTAACAGAGTAGTAAGTGTAATTTTATATAGAAATACCTGCTTCTGTATAAGAGATCAGAGTAGCAGAGAAATACTCAAAACCAATAGAGTAAATCGCTTGAAAGTGCAAACCTTTCTGTGGCAGCTCTGGTCTTGGACTCCTTTCCTTGGAATGTGAACTCCTTCGTCTGCAAGAGCTGCCGAAAGCTGGCCTGCAAGAGCAGAAAGATCTGTAAGGCAGCGGTGCCTCGTGCTTGGGAAGAAGGGACTTGGGACGCACTGTTGGTGTTCTGCTGCTCTTCTGCCTGTGGTGTTTGTGTTCTCACTGTCACTCCTGCTGTTGGCAGTGTAGATGTCTGGCGACAAGGCAGGTATCTGTTGGTGAAAAGTCATGTTTCCTTGGGCCTAGCAGCTCTGTCCATTTGGAGGTTAAATTTGCTTTCTTCTCTGCCTGAAGATTTCAGCAGTTGTCAGAGGAGTTTTTGGATGAAAAAAGTGGGTGCTGGAGTTACGTAACAAAATGTGAAAATGTTACTGTAAGCACACCCAGAATACAAGGTGTCTCAAAGTGTTATTTACTGAAATACGGCAAATATTTGATTGAGTGTGATTTCACTCTGCAAAATGAGGGCCAGTTCTCACATTAAATATCATGGCTCAAAATGAGATTCACTGAGACAAAGATATATTTTCATGGAGGAGGTAATGTTCCCTTGGTGATGGATTTTTACGGTGGAATTTCCACTCCTCTGAGGGAGAAGATAAAACAATACACGTAGCTTAAAGAGCAGTTATATTTTCATACAGTTTTCAGAAATTTTAGTTCTTTGTAGTGATATACTGAAAGCTTGGAAGCTGCGTTCTTCCTCGCAAGTATATTTTCAGGCCATCAAAATGATTCTTCTTGTCCTCGCTCCATGTTTTCTTTTGTCTCCTGATAAGCCTTTGCTGCCCTCTCTCTTTCTTCTCACCACAGTCAATACAGACACCCTGCCTCTTCCCAGTTTCTCCTTCTGCAATGCCCAGCAGCTTTGTATAACCCACACCGGAGTGCTCTGTGTTCTGCTGATTGTGCATCTCCGTCTTCTGCCACGACAAGCTGCTGCTTCTTAGCGCTCTTCTCTCCCTCGTTGTCCTTGGCTCCTGGTCTCCCTTTGCATATTAAAAAGTTTCCTGTTT